GGCTTGTGGGTAACTTCAGGTTAATTGATCTTAATTGACTACAAGACAATGCCCAAAGCCTGCAGAACAGGGAAGCAATGCCAGCACAGCTACGGGGCAGCTGAAAAGGTAGGTAGGGAGAAGGAAAAATGGGTCTAAGGGAAAGTGTGGGTGTTAAAGAGGGGCTCTGGGTGTGCGGAGCCAGAGGATGGCTCTGGGGCAGCTAGAGAAGTTACAGCTGGAAGCTGGAGAGAACTGCAGGACAGCTAATAGGAGCTGGGAAGCTGGGGGGCAGAGATTACAGAAGGTGCGGGGGGGGGAAGCAGAAAAGGGGAGATGGAACTGGGAGGAGATCAGGAAACTAGCAGAGAGAGTGGGAACTGGAGCTGAGAGAATGAGGCTGGAATTTAAGATAGAGAAGGGACTGGGATTCAGTAAAACATGACCCAACTCAGGGTTGAAAATGATAGTGGTTTTATTGAACGGGGAGATGGTGACACAATACCAAATTGGCACGCACGCACTCTGGCAGCAGGGGTTAGAGAGTCTTGGTGCAGGGGCTGAAGTCCAGGAGGAGAGAGAGAGAGTCCAAATTGTAGGAGGAGGTGTGCAGGTAATATCTACTTATCCAGGCTGGAAAGGGGTCCTTGTCCAGTAGATGTTGTCCAGAGCGGGGTTGCCCGCAGGGCCTCCGGGTGTATAGGTGGTGTGGCATGGTGCTGGTCCAGATGGATAGGACATTCCATTGGGTCTGTCTTCACTGCCCCTTTTTATAGGAGCAGACCTTGTGTGCCCCTAGTGACAGGAGGCATGCCCAGGCAAGGGCCAGCACCTGGCGTACTGAGCATGTGTGCTCCATACAGGGATGTGCAGTTTGGGGTGTCTGTAATGGTGAGAGTTGCTGGGTCTGCAGGGTCTTTTGTCTTTCAACTGCTGGTCTTGTTTCTGTTACTGGGTGAGGTCTGTGGTTCCTGGATGAATCAATGTGAGGTGATGGCCCAGTCATTACAGAACATTCTGTAGAGGCCTGCTACCATTGTATTTCAATCGTGCCAAATCATTCTCATTCATTGGGGAACCAATTTACATGGGAGGGGTACAATGAATTGTATTGTTGCAACATGGGATGCCCAGGCAGAGGACAGAAGACGGAGGCTTGACATAAAATGGAAACTTGACAAGACTTTGGTTCCCTTCCAAACACAGGCCTAAACCATACAATATTCATATGAAACAAAAAAAATCAATACGAAAATGATAATAATACAATATACAACAGTAAAAATTAATACAAACATAATAATTATACAGTATAAAACAGTGGATATCCAAAACCAAAAACTTGCTACCAAAATAAAAATGTTTGAAGCTTATCGTAAGTTTGAGCTCACTTACACTTATCTATAGGGAATAGAGAGGGAGAAAAAGTCATAAGTGTTTGGGGAAGGGAAGGGAATGCAATAAAAGAAAAACTGGGGGTATTGCTACAGTGGGAGAAGCAGCTCTTAAATTATTGTCATAGATTTCATAGACATTAGGGATGGAAGGGACCCCAAAAGATTATTGGGTCCACCCCCCTGCCCACGCGGCAGGAAGTCAGCTAGGGTCAAAGGATCTCAGCAAGATAAATGTCCAAGTTTTTCCTGAAAGAGTCCAGAGCAGATGCTTGCCCCACCTCTGGGGGGAGTTTGCTGCAGGCCTTGGGGGCTCAGACTGTAAAGAAGTTTTTCCTTATGTCCAGCCTAAAATGGTCTTGGAGGAGTTTGTGACCATTGGACCTTGTCATCTCCTGGGATGCTCTGGTGAACAGGTGTTCTCTCAGATCCTGAAGCACACCCCTTATGTACTTATAGGCTGCCACCAAGTCACCCCTGAACGTGCACTTCTCCAGGCTGAAAAGTCTCATAGCTCTCAGCTCGTGTTCATAAGGCCTGTTTTCATACCTTCTGATCATGTGTGTGGCTCTCCTCTGGACTTTTTCAGGCTTCTCTATATTCTTCCTAAATTGTAGAGCCTAAAATTGGATGCAGTACTGCAGCTGCAGCTGCAGCTTCACCAAGGCCGAGTACAGCGGGAGGATGACATCCTGGGTCTTGGTTGAGATGAATCGGTAGATGCAAGCCAGAGTATTGTTTGTTTTGCCAGCTGTGGTATTGCATTGGCAGCTCATATTCATCTTGTCGTCAATCATGACCCCAAGTCTCTTTTGGTCATGGTGCTAGCAAGTGTAGCATTGCTGAGCCGATTAAGTGTGATGCGGGTTTTTATTCCAGAGGTGGACCACCTTGCATATCTCTGAATTGAATGCCATCAGGTTTTCATCCACCCACATTGCAAGCCTGTCAATGAGCCTGGATCACCAGCGTATCCTCAAGTGTAGAGACTCTTCCCCAAAGTTTGGTGTCATCAACGAGCTTGGCCAATCTGTTTTGACACCAGTGTTTAGATTGTTTATGAAGACATTAAAAAGTACAGGTCCAAGAATGGAGCCTTGGGGGACACCACTAGTCACTGAGTGCCATGTTGCCTCCGGTTCCATCAACTCCCACTCTCTGGGTCTGACCTCAGAGCCAGTTCTCCAGCCATTGGACAGTGGAGTAGTTAAGGCTGCAGTTGCCCAGATCAAAGGCTTTTTTTTTAAAGTTCAAATATATTACATCAAGATCTTCCCTCTTGTCCAGGTGATATGTCACTTGGTCATGGAGGAAATGAGATTGGTCAAGCAAGACCTACCCACGATAAACTTGTGTTGGCCATCCCTCAGAATGTTGCCTTCTGTTAGCCTGTCAAGAGTGGTTTCTTTGATAATTTTTTCCAAGATCTTCCCAGGGATTGAGGTCAAACTGATTGGCCTGTAGTTTCTCAGGTCATCTTTCATCCCTTTCTTAGAGATGGACAATACCTTGGCCCTCTTCCAATCTTCAGGTACTTCACCTGAGCACCACGAGTTCTCGAATATCCTCACCAGGGGCTGCGCTATGATGTCTACCAGTTCCTTTAGCACTCTTGGGTGCAACCTACCTGGACCAGCTGATTTATGGGGGTCCAGCCTCTCAAGATGTTCCCTCACAAGATCCATATCAATGGTGAGCATATATTCATCTTCACCCCAGTCATCCCGCATATGTTCAGCAAGGTGGTCCCTTTTGGCTGGCGAAAAACTGATGCTAAGTAATCATTAAGCAGAGTGGCTTTTTCCTGGGTGTCAGTAGTCAGCTGCCCCAACTGGTTTAGCAGGGGTCCAAAGTTGCCCTTGGTTTTCTTTTGACTCCCCACATATCTGAAGATGGACTTTTTATTGTCCTTGATTCATGTAGCCAGATGGAGTTTGGTTGCAGCACTGGCTCTTTTAGTTTGTTCCCTGCAGGTGTAGGCCAGTGCAGTATACTCCTCCTTAGTGGTGTTTCCTGTCTTCCATCCATTATACACCTCTCTTTTTAGATGGAGGTTTGTGAGATCCCTTTTGAGCCAAAGGAGTTGTTGAGCCCTTTTACCACCTTTCTTATGGGTGTTGATGGACTCCCCTCTTGTGCTTCTAGGATCACTTCCTTAAGGAGCAACCACTCATCATGAACTCCCCTCCCTGTCAAATCAAGGCCTCTCAGGGCCTGAAGAAGAAGCCTCCTGAGTTTATGAAAGTTAGCTTTCCTAAAGTCAAAGACTACTGCGTTGCTGACTGTCTTGCCAGCCTTGTGATGGATAGTAAAATGATCAACTCATGGTCACTATCACACAGCTTTCCTTCAATTTTTAGGTTGCTAATTACATCATCCCCTTTGGCTAGTACCAGGTCCAGCAGCACCTTGCCCCTCTTGTCAGCCCATAAACTTCTTGGGACAGGTAGAGCTTATCCATGCATGTAAGTAAGCTTTGTAAGCAATTGGATTTGGCTGAGTGCTCATCCCATGAGATGTCTGGGTAGTTGAAGTCTCACATGATGACCATGCACTGAATGTGTGCAGCCTCTGCCAGTTCCCTGACAAATTCTTGGCCAAGCTCTTGTTCCTGGTTTCAAGGTCTGTTGTAGACTTCTACCATTGTATCCCCTCGCTATGTTCCCCTTGTATTCTAACCCGAAGGGTCTCCAGTCATTTTCCTTGGGTGCCAGTTTCAGCTTGTAGGGATGCGTAGCTGTTCTTCACATTGAGAACTACACCCCCACCCCTTTTTTTAGCATGATCTCTCCTGTACAGGGTATAGCTATTTATATCAGTTGTCCAGTCATAGAAGTCCCACCAGGTCTCCATGATCCCTATGAGATCATAGCCATTTCTGTTTAGCAGAAGGACCAGCTCCTCCTGTTTTATTCCCCAAACTCCTAGCATTAGTGTACAGGCATGTAAGTGTGCCATTGGCACACTTTCTCAAAAGCTACCAGGACTGGTGAGAGAATAGTGCTTCTAGTCAATGCCAGCTGCAGTGGACTGTTTCTAAACAGCTCCCTAAAAGCCTGGCTTATTTTTCATTACAGAGTGTTTTTGGAATGAGAGCATCAGTTGAAGTGTCATATTATACTGTATTTCATATTTTTCTTATCTGCCCTCAGGATAATTTCTTTGTTCCACAAATATTCATAAGAACCTACTGATAGCCTTCCATTATGTTCAATGATCTCTTTCAAGTTGTGGCATTAGAGGTATTCTATTGCATTTTGCTAATGTACTTTATAAATAGATTTCCCATTCCCATTTTTCTGTAAAGATGCCATTTTTTTTTCCTCAGAGGGAAACATTTCATAAAAAAATTTATGGGCCAGAAAATAGGGAACTATAGAAAAAAATGGCAGAAGGCTTGGTGATTAAAAATATATTTTAAAAAGTGTGTATTCTCTGGTATAAACTTTGTCAATTGAGTATTCTGAATGTGCAAGGGATACAGATTCAGATGTGCAACACACACGCTTCTGTATTTACATTAGGTTTTTCTGTGCTTATGTTCTGTGTAACATAAAACAGGAGCTCCATCTTGCATGGAATTCTATAAAGTATGGTTCTTGACAGTTAAGCATTTTTATGTGGTGTTTGTCTTAAAGGCTACTAAAAAAAAATTTAAAACATATTTTTGTCATATTATGTATGCATAAGAAAACCTTCCTCTTATTATTACTGTATATGTTACAGCAAAATATGTTATGTGTATATATGATATATAGATGCTTACCCTAACTATTATGCCTGCCTGTTTAATTTAGTTTTTCCTTGTCATTTGTTTCTAAAGGAATTAGGGTAAGGTAAGAAAGCAAAGCAGCTGAACATAAAACACTTTTTATGCATGTTCAGTTCATGCTGTTTGTTAAGAAAATATTGTTCATTGACAGCAAATATTTTGAAAGATTACAAATAAAGTAGATTCATGAATGTGTATATTAGACTTAACACTTGTACTGGAAATGGGTGGTTTATTTGCTTTTCCTCATAAAGCAATTTCCTCCTAAACTATTCCAGTCATCTAACTAGGGAGCAGAAACCAGGCCAAACCAATAGATGACTGGTCACGAAGCACTAATAATGAAATGTTGAAGAGTGTGGATTACAAACAAGCTGTAGTCTTAAAACTTGTCTACAGGAATAATTTTAGCAAATTCTCTAAATTCACAAAGGTATTAGAAGAGGTTCTGTTTGTGAATAACAGTATCTGAAACGAGATTAAGATTATGTACTTTTACAAAGAGCCATCAATTGATTGCTTATTCTTTCTCTTGTCTGCTATCATTCATTAATAGGTGTATTGACTTGGGTTCAGATCTTACAGTATGATTTGCAGTCATTAGACTAGTGCTCCTGAGTGGATTTCTGCTCTGATCTTCACTATATGGTGTGATTGGGATACTAGATTGGAGTGAAAGGGGGGGCAGGGAGGAGAAATTAAGGCTTTTTTTTGTATAGCAAAAGTAGCATTTAATAAAACTGCAGCTTATCAAAATGATCCATAAAGACAACAACTGTGGGAGCTCTAAATTCACTGGGTGAATTAATGATTGTCCCTAATGTTTACCTGTATCTGCACACTAGTCTGGAATATAATGCTACTTTCTTCCACTTTAACAAGGTCCTGCTGATTAGTGAAGGGAGATTAAGGATGTACACAAATGTTATATTTAGATCACCCAAACTGAGCTTAGGGCAATCTAAATGGCTGGGTATTAGGCCTGTGTGAAGCGACAAGTATTCGCTTCAGATTTGGCTGATTTGGAGGGACAGTAATTCGATTAATAGATATTAGGGTCAGAAGGGCCCTCAATAGATCATCGAGTCTGACCCCCTGCATAGGCAGGAAAGTGTGCTGGGTTCAGATGACTCCAGCCAGATGCCTATCTAACTTCCTTTTGAAGACCCCCAGGGTAGGGGGGAGCACCACCTCCGTTGGGAGCCGATTCCAGACCTTGGCCACTCTAACTGTGAAGAAGTTCCTCCTAATGTCCAGTCTAAATCTGCTCTCTGCTAGCTTATGGCCATTATTTCTTGTGACCCCCAGGGGCGTCTTGGTGAGTAGAGCCTCACCAATTCCCTTCTGTACCCCCATGATGAATTTATAGGCAGCCACAAGGTCACCTCTCAACCTTCTCTTGCAGAGGCTGAAGAGGTCCCAGGTGCCTTAGTCTCTCCTCGTAGGGCTTGGCCTGCAAGCCCTTAACCATATGAGTGGCCCTTCTGTGGACCCTCTCCAGGTTATCCACATCCCTCTTGAAGTGTGGCACCCAAAACTGGATGCAGCACTCCAACTGTGGTCTGACCAGTGCCCGATAGAGGGGAAGTATCACCTCCTTGGTTCTGTTTGTCATGCATCTGCTGATGCATGATAAAATGCAGTTAGCTTTGCTGATGACTTCGTCACACTGACTCATGTTCATCTTGGAATCCACTAGGACTCTGAGATCCCTATCCACATCTGTGCTGCCGAGCAGGTCATTTCCTAGGCAGTCAGTGTGCTGGACATTTTTCTTCCCTAGCTGCAGCACTATGCATTTCATCTTGTTAAATCACGTTCTATTGTTTTCTGCCCATTCGTCCAACCTGTCCAGGTCTGCCTGTAGTTGTTCACTGTCACGATTTGATTCAGCTGAATCTGATCCGAAGATTTGGCACTGCTTCAGAGATTCATCCATAGACTAAACTGGCAGCAGTCCTCACCACACTGAAAGAAACTGCCTCCAGCTGCTAAGTCTGTGGTTGGCAGAGGGGGAAGGAAAGGGGCATGTGGGGGGAAAATAAGTGCCCCCACAGCAAGGGCGGGATTGGGGCTGGGACAGGCTGCCCAGCTGGGGTAGGAGGGGCTGTGGCATGCAGGCGTGGCAGTGCTGGCAGTTGGGGTTATGCCTTGCTGCTGCTTGCCCAGCCGGGGCAGAGGATAGAGGGTGTCATGACTCCCCTCTTCCGCTTGGCAAGTGGTAGCAGGGCATAGCCCCGGCTCCCAGCACTGCTGCGCTTACATCCCGCACTTCCCCCACCCCCAGCCCCAATCCCTCCCTCACTGTGGGGTCATTGTTCTGCCCCCTCCATGCTCCTTCCCTCTTCCCTCCACCCACCACAACATACTTACTAGGTGGAGGCAGCTGTGTCCAGCATGGTGAGGACTGCTATATGTTTAGTCTATGGCCAAATCTCCAAAGAGGCACGAAATCTTTTCCTAATGGATTTGGATCCTTCTGATTTAATTCGGACCTTTTAAATGGTCTCCCAATTTTGATTTGGATTCAGAGATTGGGCTGCCTAATTGGGCTGAATTTCCTCTGAATCGAATCAGCTACTGAAGTTTTGCGCCGCCCTACTGGGTATGCAAGCATTCGCAGGGCTTAGATTACCCTAAAAATGGTGTACCTGATCTTGTCAGACAAGAATTGCATGAGCTTAACCCAGCCTAGCAGTCATTCCCCACAGCCTCAGGGCTGTGTTATTTTTGCCATCCTGACCCTGACACAGCTGTTTTCCCTCCCCAGACAACACACCCCTAGACCCATCAGCCCCTATTCTTTTCCCTGCCTCCCCGGCCCATTCGCACCAGCACCCTCTTACTGACTTGCCTCCACCTGCCCCCACAAACACTTACACATGGCGATCCTGACTCATGCTTAGGAGGCTGAAACTAAACCTGCCTGAACCAGAACTAGGTCTTCTGAATGCTTGTTTGCACCCTAACTTGCAATGTTCAGTGTTAGAATGTTCAGTTTGAACAAGGGTTGTCATGTGTGTGCACGCACACATGTGTATGCATGCACACCCTCTGGTTCTGTTTCTATTGTTGGACCCTCATTTCATTTCATTTCATTTCATTTCATTTATTTATTAGTTGTTGAAAAGAAACATGAGTCCAGAATCATTACAAATGACTTACCTCATTCATAGTCTTTACGACTGTGCTTTACTGAGTTTTGAATTGATTCATTTTCTATACTGTATCCTGTCTTGGAGGTCTTCCCTGATCATAATCTTCTAATTGTACTCAAAAGATGTAGGGCCTAATGATGGAGATGTTGCCCATGAGGGACTGAGCTAACCTTTTTTTATTCACGTGAATTGGAGATTGTTGTCATTTATAGCAGGGTCTGTGCTGTGGTACATGCATTAAAAAGATTAATCAGATTGATTGGTATAGTTATTTTTTTTCTGGCTAAGTTGAGAAGGTATGAAAATGTAGGAAACTAATAAAATACATTAATTTTACACTAACAATAACACATACAAGAGAAACTAAAATAAAGGACAGGATATAAACTGTTTCAAGCAATTCAGAAGTCCAAAGCCAATAATTTCTGCCTTTTATTTGCATAGTTTTATCCAACAATAGGGGGAGAGTTTGTTTTAAGTTTTTCCTTATCAAACAAAGCAGAGATTCTGATTGTCTGAGTTTTTTGCCCACTTTAGACAATAATGCCACATTAATCTTCTTTATACTGAGAAGAACAGAAATGAATTGCTTAAAAGGATTATAAAGATTACACAAGAATAACAGACGATGCCCAAACTCTTTTTCTAGTTGCATCTGCAACCTGTAGTAATTTATAGATTAGAAAATAATTTTCTTTCACAAATTACCAGAAAAAAGAAAAGAAATGTGCTCAGGTTAACATGAAGTCATACCTTTAAGAGCATATATTTTGTTGTTTTTCATGCAGAAGCTTATATATTTACAAGTATATTTTAATCTCACTGAAGTGTAGTACAGATATAATAAGGCATGTTTCTTAATTATAGGCATTCATAATAAGAGGAATAATAGTTTAGTGGTTAGATGGTATTACTGCATTTTCTCCTGTACAGCATGCCCCAGAATAAAATAAGCACTTTGTTTTTGAAAAGCAGAATGGAGAAAAACAAATCTTTCTTTGCAGGAAGTAGCTGAGTAGCAGCAGCTGTGAAAGAAAGCCTGCTCATTGTTCTGCTCCCTGTGAATTGTATGCAGACTTTTTTCTTCCTTTGGCCAGGAAGTGGGGGAAAAAAAACTTTCTGTACTTTTTTGCATAAAGGCTAGGGACAGATATTCAAAAAGCTTGAGCCTGAATTGATTTAGTCGTGCCAAGTTAGTCTAACCTGGCTAGGCTAAACCAGTCTGTAACTGCAAAGACATCCCAGACATGCAGGCACATGCCTGCAGTGGCTCAAGCTGGAAGCTGGGAGGCACTAGAGCAGCCCTCCTTTCCCTTCTACAGTGCTGAGCTGAGAGGAGCATGGCCAAGCCCTGGTGGGACACTGATTAGGGAGGGAATTGATAGCAGTGTTTATCACCCCAACTAAGTGTTTATCAGCCCATTAAGAAGACAAAGAAAACAAAAGATTCTTGGCTACCTGTTGATTAGCTCTGAAAAGCCCTAAATAGACTTAGTCCTGTCTGCCTTTGTCCTGTGTTCCACAGCACCATAGCTAACATGTGGTATGCTAGATAATGCTGAGAGGTGTCTGTGTAAGGCAGGGGGGAGGTGATGGGGAGGTGGGAGCTTGCAGTCTCTACCGGAGCTCCAGCCAGGGAGTAGAAGGGAGGGGCCAGCCCTCCTGTGGAGCAGAAAGCCCCACCCAGCTCAGAGAGCATGCCAGGGTGTTGGGGGAGTCTGGTTTAACTTAACTGGTTTGACTCAAACCAGTTTATGCAATGTCTGTCCCAGACCCCTTCCTGGTTTAAGTCTGATACTACATTCAACCTGGTTTATCTCAAACTGTATTCTGCCATTTTCAAACTGGTTTATGTACACTGAGCATCTGTTCTGTTACAGGATTAAACTGCTTTTTGATACTTTAAACCAGTTTGTGTAATGTCTATCCCTAGCCATAATGTGCACTACAATTCCCAATAGCTGTTTTTTGGGGGAGGGGTAGAGGGAGCGGGCAGAAGGGGAGGGCAGAAAGGTGTGCTTGGAAAAATTGGATTATAATGGCCTTTCTATGAGACATTGAGAGAGTTCCTTCACCTCTCTGTGCCTCCATTCCCCATTTTCAAAAGAATTATTGGTAATAATCTGGGGTGTTGCTATGTGTTGTGCATGTAAGGGACACATTCAGGTATGATAACAATGTGGTTATACAATTATCTGAAATAGCAAGAGAAGATGCATTGTAACTATACCTGAAATGTCTGATTAAACAACAAAATATTAAACATATTGTTCTTTCTTTTATCTGTCTTTCAGAAAAATGTGATGAACCATTAGTCTCGGCATTGTCCCACTCCTCCTTCAGCAGCTCATCATCTGTGGCCAGTAGCTATTCACCAGGGTATGCAAAGCTAAACAAAAGAGGAGGTAAGAAGTTCTTTCTCTTTGTTCATACTCTTACTGGAGGGGTGTCTGTCACAGGCCAGCTGGGCACTGTAAGTGTATCAATTTTATCACAGGCCAGCTGGGCTGTTTGATTCAGTTTCAGATCAAGGAGGCAAAGTTGGGCGTGAAGTGAAGGCAAATTTATTATAGCTTGCACGCGCACATGCGCACGCACACACAACAGTTAACAAAGATAAATGCAATAAGCAGATAATTCAGTATTAAAGAGCTAATAGTAAATAACAGATAATAACAGATGGATCAATTCTGTCGCAGGCCAACTGGGCACTGCGAGGGTATTTGCCACTGGGCTGTTCAAAACAACAGATAGACATGGGTTGGCAACTTATTGATAGTCCCTCAATGCCAGGTATGCATCAAGTGATTCCGGTGAAGTCAGGCGTCCCCGATCGACGCTGTCAGAGGGATTATCAGGGAAGGTCCCTTGATCAGGATCCGATCCTCACACTGGGAGTCCAGGAGTGGAACAGAAACGACTGTTCTGTTCCCTCCTTCCTGTTGATCACCTGATGCACGTGCTTTTTGAATATGCTTTCTTGGGATGTGGTTTCCTGGAATGTGTTGGGTGTGCCAGGCAGTTGGATCCAGTTTTTGTCATCAAGACTGAACCCTGAGCAAAAAAATGTTAGGTCTTCTAATCTCGCAGCTACAGCTTTGCTTATGGGGCCCAGTCAATTCCACAAACAGTTAATTTATCATTTTGGTTAAACTTAGGACAGACAAGTTACATTTGCAGTTTACAAACTTACAAACTTTATATTAACTAATGTTACCTGTTTAGGCAAAATACCAAATGCCTCCAAGAAGCACATATTTATTGCTTATTAATCCCTCTGGTTCTGGCCATCACAGGTGTCAAACTCGCCTCATGCCCCAGGACAGATCTAGACCACAGGGCAAGTGGCACAGGCAGTGGAGTTAGAGCCAGTGACTGTAGGCCAAGGGGCTACAAGACTGTGTTAGGCAAGTGCAGGCCATGACCCCAAACTCCTTGGCCCACTAGTAGCCTAGCAGACTGGATAGAAAAACTTTGTACTGTATGTTTGATGCTCATGACTTGTAGTTAATACTGTGTCTGTTAAAATATTTTTATCTCTTTTGATTTATTAAATAGATTAACAATTTTAAAACCAAATGTTAGTATTTAAATATCTGCATTTTTAATTGACCTTAACTTTTTACTTTATCTGTTAGAATATTTCCTGTGATAGTGAGACAAGGTTCTGTGGGTAAATCTGATATCTTTTATTAGACCAACTTGTATAGTTGGAAAAATTCTTCTTAGCAAGCTTTCGGGCACAAACACCCTTCATCATCAGGAAGTGTTGGCAGATGACCTGTGCTTCCTCAGCCTGACAAAGGGTGTTTGTGCCCGAAAGCTTGCTAAGAAGAATTTTTCCAAATATTTGAGTTGGTCTAATAAAAGATATCAGATTTACCCGAAGAAGTTTGTCTTGCTTATGACCTTAGACCAACATGGCAGTAACTTACACTCTTGTGATAGTGATGACTTTTTTTTGTGCCAGTTGAGAGAGAACACATTGTAAAGAATACTTATCAGGAGTAACCAGTTTTCCTGATTATTGAAGAACTATATTTGACACTTACACAGCTTGGCTAAACTGAAACTTTTATGTTTAATAAACACAGGATCATTTGCAAAGTCATGGTCGTTGAAGTAAAGCTAAATGATCCACACATTCTGTGCTGATTTGTTTTCACTTTTTCCCCATGCTAGTAGCAATCACTATTGTTCAGTCCTTTCTAGCGGTTTGGTAGCCTTTAGAGAAAAATTTATCCTAAGGACTCTACACAGGGTAGACTTTAATTGCATCCTTGGGGAATTACTATAGTTTTGGCAGCTGCTTTTAAGTATCACTGATGATTTCTCAAGAAATAGAAGGTAAAATATTTTTATATCTAAATCATATTATTAAAATTTTAGACTTGTGGGAAATGAGATGAGAATATACAAATTCAATATCAATTTTCTAAAACATCTTCTGTCAATGACTGAAAGTGGAGAAAGTCTGACATCAATCAAATGGAATCCAGAAGAATAAAGTCCTTAGGCTGGAACAATTGCACAAATATGGGCTGGGGAGTGACTGGTTAGGTCACTACACAAAAAGCTACTACAGAAAAAGAGCTTCAGATATAGTTAACCATAACCTGAATATGAGCCAAGAGTGTGCTCTTGTTGGGGGGGAAAAAAAGGCCAATACCTTATTGAGTTGTTTTAACTGGAGCATTTGCTTGCAAATCTAGGGAAGTGATTCTTCTTATTTGGCACAGATAAGGCTGCACCTGGAGTGCTGTATTCAGTTTTGGATCCCACACTTCAAGAAAAATAAGTACAAAATCTTTTGTAAAGAGCAGCAAAAATGGTTCTGAGTCTAGGAATGAGGCTGAATGAACTGGTATTACTTAGTCTGGAGAAGACAAGACTGAGAGGGATTTAACAATAGACTTCAAATACCTGAAGGGTTGTTATAAAGAAGATGGAGATTAGACTGTTTGCTGTGGTTACAGGCGCAGGCAGATCCAGGATTTTAAAAAGCACAGTGCACGAGCAGTGAATGGCACTGTAGGGGGTGGCTGCAATCCCTTGCTCCCAGCCTCTTTCCCCAGCTGGGACAGGCAGAGCATGCCACAGGGCCTTTTGTAAAAGTCCCTAAATCAGGCAAGAATCTCCCTCCTATGCCCTTCATTCAGCACCTCCCTTCCCTTCTGTTCAATGGAATCTCCCCTCTTCTCTTACGCTCTACCACCCCCATCTGCTTATGTCTTTGGGTGCAGAAGGGGAGACCTGCCTGCTATTGCTGCTGTCCCAGATGCTTTTGCCCTGCTCCAATTGGGGCTGGTAGTTTGGAGGGGAGGGGATAGCGGGTGGCTGTACAGGGAAATGGAGACAGCCAGGGACATTGGCAGTGGGTGGGTTCACCTTGCCTGTTCCTGGTCCCAGGCTGACAAGAAATACCAAAGGGACTGGGCAGGGAGGGGGAACCCACTTCCTGCTAACACTCCTTGTGTATCTGGGCTGGAGTGGAACAAGAGCATTTCTGGTGCTTCCTTCACTCCTGGGTCAGCCAGGAGCAGTGGCAATAGCAGCTGGAGGAGGGGGATAATGGGACGGCAAATGTACCACTAGCTGCAGGTCAAAAGCTATAATGTTAAAATGCAGGAAGGGAAATTTAGATTAGAATAATTTAAGGACTATGAGGGTGGTTAAGCACCTTGGAACATGGTACCTGGAGAGGTTGTGGGATCTCTGTACTCAGAATTTTTTAAGAGCATATTAAATGCTCTTGATTTCTGGATGCTCTAGGTAAGGATGGTTCTGCCTGGATTGGGGGGTTGGATTAAATGACCTCTTGAAGTCCCTTCCACCTCTACTTTTCTGTGATTCTGTGTTCTGTGGGGGTTGACCTTATGGAGCTCACACTTGAGAAGGGACCCAGAGTTCAGGGGTGGTTCAAACATTACAGCCTCCAACCTCTGTGAATCATTGAATTTTGAGCATCTACAGTATAGGAAATCTCAGGGATGGGAGAAGATTTGCCTCTTTGCTCTGTTTTATTATTTTTCCTCTTTGCTCTGTTTTATTATTTTTCCTGAGCACCCCAACTTGTCTAAAACATTTCCCAAACAACAAAATTTTACTGCATGCAAAACAAGTCCTCACTTGTTTGACTATTATTTTTCCTGGAGGTCCACTGAATCTGTTCAGTGTGCAAGAATTATGAGAGATTTCAGTTAGGCTCCAGGAAGAGGTGAGTCAAAGTGTGAGGATTATCTGGATCTCCAAAGTGTGCCATTTAATCGGTAATAGAAGTCTAAATAATCCTCCAAATAATTGTACTACCCTGGGTGGAAAAAACAAAAACAAGCTCTGTCTCTGCATAAGTAAATTTTGGGGGAAAGGGTAATAAAACCACTGAAAACTCTTTACACTTTCTTAGAGCTTAACAGCACTTTGGAAAGGAGGATACATGTTGTTCTGTTTCACTGGGTAAGAAAATGATTCACGGAGCAGTCAGCTCACAAAGTGCATTAGGGAGAGGGCCATGTACATAGTTCAAGTCTCTAGATAGTATCTCCTGTTATAATATCTGGAACAGAATGCCATACTCTTAAAGATATAGCCAAGGTGATTTTAGGAATGTTACTTTGTTCATCTGTTTATGGACCTGATTTTTCAGCACATACTGTACTCGAAATATCACTAATACTTTGAAGTATACCAACTCATGGAATGCAACTGTGCTAAACAGTGTGCCTTACAGTATTCTGCAATCCAGACAAGTAGAACTAATTCTGCCACTTAATGTAATAGTGTTGTTTGTACCCGAGGCTCCCAGGATGCATGCTTAGAGTATTATTACTTTTCTCAATACACAGGGAAGTTTCATGCATAAATGCTAGAGCTCTGCCAGGCATAGTTCACAAAGGGATTTGAAAGACCATAAGTTTTGTTCAAAGAGAATGAAATTAAATCAACCTTCTGCAGACTTGTGTGGATGTTCCCCCACCCCACCAGCAGCCAGTCTTTCTACAGCTTACACAGGCTGCCTTCAAACTTGGTTGCACCATGAAAATAAGTGCCATGGGCAGCCACATATTCAGAGCCTCTTGGCTGGATAACAGGAAAGACAACTGCTCTAGCCAGGAGATGGTGGTGGGGCAGCTCCATAGCTCCTTCCACAGCCAAAGGAGCTTATCAGGGAGGCAGACCAGGCTTGCAAGCCCAGCTCCCAAGCAGCTCAAAAGCCCAGCTGGTCTCAAACTGTCCGGAAACCCTTTAAAGGTCCCAATGGTCCTTTAAAGGTGCAGCACCACCTGCTCTTCCAAATTCCTGGCCTGCAGGCAGCAAAGGAAACAAAGCTCCTTGATAACCTCTATTGGTGGCAGTGACTGATCAGAACTGGGCTCTCTTCTTCCACCCCGCCATTGGTGAGGCA